GCATATGTTTGCAATTCTTGATTGTATTCTCTAGTGATCATTGCTGTTTATACAATGTCTTTGGTCAGCCATTTACCATACTGCCTTTATTACACAGTCCCTGTTTTCAATGTTATTTCATCATTTTAGACGAATCCATATTTACACATTGAAGCAAGTGCTGAGGAGATTGAGGCGGCAAGGGAGAAAGATGAATTATTGAAAAAAAAATCTGATTATTACTTACAACCATTGCTCATTTCCAATAAATTACATGGGTTAGTACTCTCTTTATGTACAGTTCTCTTACTATTTACAACGTAAGCATGTTTTTATTGAAGAATATTTACTCTATAGTTAACTTTAACAATATATTATGTTCATTTTTAGCTATGACTCCAATGCACCATTACCCACCCCTCCCACAGATGCATACACGGCATCTACAGTTCCTTTACCTGAAGTTGCTGTTGAACCATCAACACAGAAATTAAAAGATGCTGGTTCTTACGAAAGGCTAGCAGACGATGCCTCTCCACGAAAAGGAGCATCTTATAAGAATGAAGACGCAATAAGATTAGAAAATATGACAGCGACAAATCACAACGACACTAAAGATGTTCAACAGCCTGAGAAGATAGAGTCCATTGTTTGAAGCATATTGTTTACATTATTTTGTGAATTGGAAACGAAGATACGTAGGAACTGCCAATTGAAGAATTTTAAGAATTGCAAAATATCACCTTCTTATATTTTGTTGAAAATCAACAATTTGGTAAACTTTCTGAAATCGTTTATACCACAGGTGAAGGAAAGCTAAGTTATTTGGACGGACTTACCTTTCTTAAAACCCATGTAAAGCTCAAACTTCCATGGTTGGCACAATGCAAGTCTATACATCATGATTAACACCATGTAAATTTCTACACCATGGTTGGCTCAATGCAAGTCTATACATCATGATTAACACCATGTAAATTTCTACACCATGGTTGGCTCAGTGCAAGTCTATACATCATGATTAACACCATGTAAATTTCTACACCATGGTTGGCACAATGCAAGTTTCTTCTACGCCATGGTTGGCACAATGCAAGTTTCTTCTACACCATGGTTGGCACAATGCAAGTTTCTTCTACACCATGGTTGGCACAATGCAAGTTTCTACACCATGGTTGGCACAATGCAAGTTTATACACCATGGTTGGCACAATGCAAGTTTCTTCTACACCATGGTTGGCACAATGCAAGTTTCTACACCATGGTTGGCACAATGCAAGTTTCTACACCATGGTTGGCACAATGCAAGTCTATACATCATGATTAACACCATGTAAGTTTCTACACCATGGTTGGCACAATGCAAGTTTCTTCTACACCATGGTTGGCACAATGCAAGTTTCTACACCATGGTTGGCGCAATGCAAGTTTCTACACCATGGTCAACACCATGTAAGTCTCCACACCATGGTTAGCAACATGAAAGTCTCTACACCATGGGAAAACAGCATTTTTTACATTGTTTGTTTCAAATAGTTATAAGCCAATTTAAACTGATTTCACCAATGTAGTATAAGAAGCAACCCCTATAAAATTTATGTCTTGTGATAATTATAGTTTAGAAATCATTAATTATTACGTACTAATGATTTCATATCATAAATTATCCCCAAACGTACATGTTTCATAATGTCCCTCTAGGTCCTCATGTTTTGTATGCCACTGATATCCATCAACGATTTAAGGTGACTTTAGGATTTTGAGTTAGTTAAAAATAACAAAGTAAACGTTTTTTTCAATTGAAATTTCAGCTGACTAACTTGGATGATTATTTGTAGTCACGTAATCATTTTTGATCAAGCTACAGATAAGAAATCATCTCTAAAAAAGAAATCTTAATTTTAAACTGAAACGCTGAAGGAGAAATTATTTGGTTTATTTCTCAGAATCGTGATCTGCATTGATCTTATATATTGTGGAAAGATACGAATTTTTTAGGTTCAATTTTTAAATTTTAGGCAAAGGACAATGAACACTTATTGCAATATAAACTAAATTATATCATAAAAAATTGCACTACTTTCAAACAACAAACTTCTGAACTTCAAACATGGATGTTTAGAGGTTTTATGAAGTACATTAAATTTACTTGTTATGTCTTAGTTTATTTTATAGATTAAAACCGATTTTAAAGTAATTTGTTTTTTAATTTTCATTCGGACCTAGATTCTTTATATTGCATTTGTTGTTAACATTTCCCAGGAGACAATTTATAGAGTCAAAATATCACCAAATGAATTATTGTGTCTTGATTTTTTCCATGGAACTCATAGCTATGTTGAGTTTGCAAGATGTCTTTGTTTGTCGTAGTATGTTTCATCCTTTTTGTCCGTTACTTGAAGCAGATAATAAAAATTAAAAATTCCATTCATTAATCAGCAAATAACCTAAGGATTTTTTAAATTATTGCTTTTGCTATTGTCAGTGAGTCAATGACCAAGAATTTATGAATTGTATTTCAAACGGTCCAATTCTCTTCATGTACTCTGAAAAAAGAGGCATCTCCGATGAAGATGCTTAAAGTTTGATTTGAGTTTATGCTTCTTCTAACTTAACGAGATAGTAGATGAGTTGTCTGAGCTAAGAGTTTATTTAGTGAAAAGATTACTGGAATAACATGAATGAGTTTTAATTCGAAAGATTGTAGCGTTCCTTTTCAAGCAGGTATCCGTTTGGATAGATTTAATATTTGACATTTTCGTAGTATTTAAAAGTTTTCCTTTTATAATATAAACATGATAATTGGTAATATGACTATGATTTGTATTATTTCATTAACAGAAATAAAAGTGCTCATTTCTAGCAAAAAGTAAGTAGCGTAAAATAGGAAAAATTGGTGCCATATATATTTAAATATCCAAAGTCCCAAGAAGTCACACGTTTGCAGTAACGACAGTCAAAATAAGATTTATAATGATAATATTTATATGTTTTCACTAAAAAGACTTTCTCCATTGTGCTCTTTTATCGTTTATTGTACAAGTTATCATTCATCACTAGGGCAAGCATATGGTGCAATGGCGCGCTGTCAATTTTTTTTGTTGGAGGAGGGCGGGGGGGTCGCAGAAACCAATATCGGTAACGAATTTTGAATAGAGGACAGAAAATTTTTCTATACTTGTAACATTTCATCAAGTTATAGGTGATTGAGAAAATGTGAAAAGTATGAAAGTTATACATCATGGATCATTTTTGTAAAATTCTCCTTTATTAGTTGAGAAATATTTTACTAAAATTGAATTGCAATGGACATACCAACGGAACAGATTGAAGCACATGCTGCAATTCTTTATATTGCATTTGTTGTTAACATTTCCCAGGACACAATTTATAGATTCAAAATATCACCAAATGAATTATTGTGTCTTGATTTTTTCCATCGAGCTCATAGCTATGTTGAGTTTGCAAGATGTCTTTGTTTGTCGTAGTATGTTTCATCCTTTTTGTCCATTACTTGAAGCAGATAATGAAATTAAAAATTCCAATCAATAATCAGCAAATAACCTCCGAATTTAAATTATTGCTTTTGCCAGTTGTCAGTGAGTCATTGACCAAGAATTTATGAATTGTATTTCAAACGGTACAATTCTCTTCATGTACTCTGAAAAAAGAGGCATCTCCGATGAAGATGCTTAAAGTTTGATTCGAGCTTATGCTTCTTCTAACTTAACGAGATGTTAGATGAGTTGTCTGAGCTAAAAGTTTATTTAGGGAAAAAGATTACTGGAATAACATGAATGAGTTTTAATTCGAAAGATTGTAGCGTTCCTTTTTCAGCAGGTATCCGTTTGGATACATTTAA